CCCTCGGGGGGCAGAGGCGCCGCGGGCGCAGCGAGCCCCTCTGCGAGCCGCGGGGCTTTGGGGAGCGATCGCCCTTCCGGGGGGGAAGCTCTCGCGATCCGCTTCGGTAGCGGGGTTTCTGGGGGCTGCTTTAACTGTTGGGTTTGGGGTTGGGTTTTTTGTGTCTTTTATTGTATTATTTATAAATACATGAATTTTTTTTTTGCCTTTATTCTTAGGGTTGTGCGTCCTCCCAGCCAGAGCTGCCAAATCCTGAACCTCCCCGCGCCGGCACCCCGGACCTCGCTCCGTGAAACCCCCCCTTGGGCTTGGTCTGCCCCCGCTGCCAAGCCCCGCTCCTCCTCTTCGCTGATCTCCGTTCCTAAACCCGGCCGTCCCTCGCAGCGCTGCCTTTACCCCCGCCGGATTTCTCCGTCGCAAGAGCTGCCGCGAGGCCTTCCCCGGTTTCCGACGGAGGTTGGCAGGCGAGTGGTTGGCTTTGACCTCCGGCTGCTTTGTTTTCCCCGAACGCCGCGATTTAGGCGCGTTTTCTAAACGCCCCCGCTTACATCGCGCCCCGCGCGTGCTCCCCTTCGTCGCGGTTGTGTCGCGTAAAGAGGCGCCGTTTTCCGAATGCGCCGTAATATTCCTTTGGAGATGAGGCGTGGCTTGAAGCAATGTTGGGTTTGCAGGGTTTGGGGGTTGGGTTTTTTTATTTTTGGGGGGGGAACCCCATCACCAATCGCTAATTTTTAACATCCTGCGGTTTGGCCTGAAAGTGGGGAGGTTGGGGGGAAGACGAGGGCCCCTCCCCGCCCCACCAAAGCTTTGTGGCTGCCTTCACCCCCCGCCAAATTTGGCACGGTCCCAAAGCAGTGTCCACCACCGCAGCCCACGCAAAGCCCGTGGTGTTTTGGGGTTTTTTTTTTAATCCCATCAGTGAGAAAATATTTATTTTAGCCTAAATATTTATTTTAGCTTCAGAAGCAACTGAAGGCTCAAGGCTGATCCCAGGGGGTTTTCGCCGGGAATCGCCCAGCTCATCGCCGCTGCTTTTTGTAGGGTGAGTTTTTCGGCGAAGCCATTCACCTTTCCTTACCCCCACAGCGCGATTGCACCGACCCTCCCAACCTTTCGGGGCTACAAAAGCTTCCCTTTCCCTTCCCCAAGCCAGCTGCACCCCCGGGGAAAAAAATTCATATGGCTCCCCCAACACCTTTTTAAATATCGTAACGATGTTCCTGGGCCGGGTCTGGCTCACTGATATTTTTCC